TCCATGCTGTTATCACAACAAAGGTATTGCACCAATTCACAGTGGCCATTTTGGACTTGAGAATACTACAGGCAGGCGGGGGGGGGAAGCACCATATATTTGTTTGTGTCTATTTTTTTTTCCATGTACACAAGGTATCCAAAAGTGCATCGTACTTTGATGGTGTTTGGGTGATTCAGGGATCTTGCTTATTTTAAAATGAAACAATATTGTATTTTCAGAAACCATCTTAGGACTTCAAACACACTTTTTTAAGGGGAAAAAACCTGTGTTTTCAAAAATAGCTTAAGTGCTTCAGTTCTTATTCCAGCTGCCTCAGCCCCCAATTACATTGATTTTTTTAAAAAAATTATTTTCTTTGTGTATAGGAAAGAATCAAACAATGTCAGCTCTGAATTAGTGCCTATTAGCTTCAGTCTAGTTAAAGTCTTTTAGTTTAGTCCTAAATCCTTTAAAAAGTCTTGACTCATCTAGTTTAGAAACAATTTGCAGTTCTTTTCCAGGAATCAAATAATTAGGAAATAAAATGAAAGACCAAAGACTTTTTGAGATAGTGATAAATATGTGGTTAAGGGTTGTATGTAAGCCCCTCAAATATTGGAAGATGGTTACCGTCTCCCCCCTAATCATTTGTAGTGTGTTTGAATCCAGAAGGGACATAGCATATCTCCAATGATTTATTAAAGATGTCAGTGAAGATGGAGGCCAGTTGATGAGCACAGACAGCAAGAGGGAGTTACCCTGTTTAGGCCTGGGTATTTTTCCAGACCTTGCGCATCTTTTTCTGTGATCACCAGAGGTGGGCAAGAGGGATGGAGTCAGGTGTGGTAGACTTGGCTGTTGTTGGTGTATCTAAGATGGAGAGGGTAGCAATAGTTGACATTGGTCTCCTCTCAAACCTACAGGAGAACACATTCAGGTCATCTGCTAGTTGCCAATTCTCTTTAGCAAGGGAGTGAGGTCTACTATAACCAGTGATATTTTGGGGGGTTTTCCACACATTTGCTGATTTATTTATTGAGAGCTGATTCCCACAGCTTTTTAAAGTAATTTCTTTTTTTTGCTCTGATCTCTCTTCTTAATACATTCCTGGCCTGGTTGTAGAGCATTCTAACTCCTTTTCCCATAGGCTTCCTCTTTGGCACGGCATAGATGTTTGAGCTTAGCGGTGAACCAAGGTTTATTATTACTGTAGATGTGTGTAAGGTTTTGGTCGGCACACATAAGTCCTCACAAAAACTAATGTATGATGTCACGGTGTCAGTGAGTTCATCCATGTCCACTGAGGCAGCTTCAAAAACCATCCAGTCTGTGCAGTAGAGGCAAGCCTGTAGCTTTAACTTTGCCTCTTCAGTCCAAGATTTCACTGTTTTGTTGGTTTTATGATTTTATGTCTTTATCTATAAACCAGTATTGAGTGAATCCTACAGTGATCAGAGTGTCCCACAGCCACACTTGGTAGAGAGTGATAGACATCTTTTAATTTAGAGTTATCTAAAATATTCTTGCATCGTGTGAAGCCGTTGACATGCTGAATGTATCTTGGTAGTTCCTGGCTTAGATTAGCACTGTTAAAATATCCTAGTACAATGAGTGGGGAGTCTGGATATCTCTGTTCGGTCCATAGAATTTGGTCAGTTAGGGTTGTAATGCCTTGTTTATGCAAACTTGGGGTGGTATGTAGACCCCAACTAGGATAAATGAAGAAGATATTTGGGGAGCATAATAGTCTATAACAGTGATGGCGAACCTTTTAGAGACCGAGTGCCCAAAAACAGGCCCCACCCCTACCCCGCCCCTGCCCCACCCCCACCCCATCCCCCATCCCACCTGCCCACAGGGCCACTCACCGCCTCCAGGGCCCACCGCAGATCGCCCAGGCAGCCCAGCAACGCCATGGTGGCCACACCCTCTGCCCATGCCCTGCAGCATCAACTGTACAGGATGGGGCATGAGGGCAGAGTCTTGTCTACACTGCCTGGCTGCCATGTCCTTGGCTGTGCTGCTCCGTGTGGGCCACGCTCAGGGGTGACTCTCCTCCAGGGGGGCTTCTGGTGAGGAGGAGGTCATGCGGGCAGGCGAGGCTTGGGCAATGGCACATGTGCCTACAGAGAGGGCTCCGAGTGCCACCTCTGGCACTCATGCCATAGGTTCACCACCACTGGTCTATATCCCAAAATTTCTTTAGTGTAGTGGCATTTTTACACCATAGGTTGTTAATATAAAAAACAGATACCTCCTCCCTTCTTTTTACCGGATGTTTTTGCAATTCTATCTACCCTTTGAATCTGAAATCCTGGGATTTGCAAGCAGCTATCATTAATCGAATCATGCAGGCATATTTCAATAAAGCAGACGGTTGCTGCGTTGGAAAAGTCTGAATTGTTCCTATTTAAAAGGAGCAGTTCATCTATCTTATTTACGAGTGAGAACAGATTAGTTAAATATCGTGAAGGGAGGTGAGATTTTCTTACCCCATGCTTCTTGGGCAGGAGTCTTTCAACTTGGCCCTTGGATGACGTGTGGACTTCAACTCCCAGAATTCCTCGGCCAGGTGTGCCTGGCTGAGGAATTCTGGGAGTTGAAGTCCACAAGCAGGGGTCTTCAAACTTGGCCCTTGGATGACGTGTGGACTTCAACTCCCAGAATTCCTCAGCCAGTATGCCTGGCTGAGGAATTCTGGGAGTTGAAGTCCACAAGCAGGGGTCTTCAAACTTGGCCCTTGGATGACGTGTGGACTTCAACTCCCAGAATTCCTCAGCCAGTATGCCTGGCTGAGGAATTCTGGGACTTGAAGTCCACAAGCAGGGGTCTTCAAACTTGGCCCTTGGATGACGTGTGGACTTCAACTCCCAGAATTCCTCAGCCAGGTGTGCCTGGCTGAGGAATTCTGGGAGTTGAAGTCCACAAGTCATCCAAGGGCCAAGTTTGAAGACCCTGTTCTTGGGTCTGTAAAATGCCTCCCCCTCCTTCTCCTTCTCTGATTTCTCTTTTTCTTCTTTCTAACTATCATGCTAAAAGAGATAACTGCTATTCCCTCAGTAAGAATTTCCTCCTCATTTGAAAAGAAGGGACGAATAGTCCCAGAAAGTTGCTTGTTATTTAAAGTCCACAGTCTGATATTCAAAATCTCATCTCTTGAGTATGAAATTGACAGTCACAGGAAATAATAGAAAACATCAGAACTTCTCGAGTATAAATGAAACCTTCAGCTACACAAATGTAATTAACTTTGAGAAAATTATAACTGACAAAAGATACTTTGAATATTGACGGGAAATTAAACTTAAGTAAGAGCTCGAAAAACAGGACATTGATTTAATAAGGAGACTTTGTTTGTAAATACAATTTAGGTATAAAGTGGTTAGAAAAGAGGTTATAAACTGATATTATTGTTATTTGTATAACACTAGAGAAATATGAAGAGCATGTGTATATCTACTTTTGTATGTATTAATAGTAGTAAGAATTGTATTTGTCTAATGTTGAGAAAGTGAAAACATCAGGGGAAGAAGAGGGGATACCAAAAAACCATGTCTAGTTTAACGAAGAGAAGGACAAGGGGGGACATGATAGCAGTGTTCCAATATCTCAGGGGCTGCCATAAAGAAGAGGGAATCAAGCTATTTTCCAAAGCACCTGAAGGCAGGACAAGAAGCAACGGGTGGAAACTAATCAAGGAGAGAAGCAACCTGGAACTACGGAGAAACTTCCTGACAGTGAGAACAATTAAGCAGTGGAACAACCTGCCTCCAGAAGCAGTAAATGCTCCAACACTGGAAGTTTTTAAGAAGAGACTGGACAGCCATTTGTCTGAAATGGTGTAGGGTTTCCTGCCTGAGCAGGGGATTGGACTAGATGACCTCCAAGGTCCCTTCCAACTTTACTATTATTATTATTATTATTATTATTATTATTATTATTATTATTATTATTATTATTATTATTATTATTACCATTGGATTGTGTAACATTGAATAGATTTATACCGAGGTTAAGATGCAACATTGAGTAACAAATGTACCCGGACATCACATCTGTTTACTAAGCATTTATGATTTGTAATAATAGAGAATCAATATAACACCTATTAAAAGGAAAACTACTCAAGAGCATTTCACCAAGGCTGCCATCGCTGGCGCCATCTTTAATGGAATATCACTCACCATCTTCACTTGTTATCTTTATCTTCCCTGCAGCTGTCAAGACAGCCCCAACTGTATTCCCGCTGTCTCCTTGTAACCAAGATATTACCACCGCTTCCCTAGTTTCCATCGGTTGTCTCATCAAAGGCTACTTTCCTCAACCAGCCACAGTGCAGTGGAATTCAGGCGCCATCACCAGTGGAATACACAACTTCCCTCCGGTTTCACTGGCATCCGACCACTATACTTACACCAGCCTGCTCACCATCCCTGTCAGCCAGTGGCAATCCCAGGAATTCCAGTGCAATGTTGAGCATGCAGCCACTGACACCAGAATTAACAAAAGAATTGAACGTAAGTCCTGTAAAGTTATCCTTTTCTTTTCTCAAGGGCAGTTGATTTGTCAAAGGCAAAAAAGGTCAAATGTGAAGGTAAATCACTGGGAGATAATGGCAATTGTCAAGGTCCAAGCAATCCTTGGTTTACAACTCTTTGGTGACCGTTCAAACCTATAACAGCACTGAAGAAGGAGACTTTATGACTGTTTTTCACACTGCAACATCCTTGTGATCACGTGACCAAAATTTGGATGCTTGGCAACCAGCTCATATTTATGATGATCACAGTGTCTCAGGGTCATGTCACACATTTTGTGACCTTCTGACAAGCAAAGTCCATGGGAAAGCCAGATTCACTTAACAACTAATTTAACAAACTGCAGTAAACAACTGTGGCAAAAAAAGTCATAAAATGGGGCAAAACTCATTTAACAAATGTCTTGCTTAGCAATATAAATTATGGGGTCCATTGTTGTCACAAGTTGGGGATTACCTGTAGTTCTTGATTTATCCCCACATGGAGGTAAAGGACCACATGGAGTTACGACTGTCTCCTCAAAAGGTACCTATGAACCAATGTGAGGAGGAAAGACAGAAGCAACCATCACCTGTTGGAAGGAATTAAGGCAAAGGTTAATAGGGGTAGACCAGGAAAACAAGATTTGAGGAGCCCCAAAAACAAGATTTGAGGAGCCCCAAGGCATCTGAACTTGCTTGTTTTTATTTGAAGACATTTCACTTCTCATCTAAGATGCTTCTTCATCTGTGACTGGATGGTGGGGAATGGCAGTCAGAGCTTCAGTCAGAGCTGAAGAAGCTTCTTGAATGAGAAGCGAAACCTCTTCAAAGAAAAACAAGAAAGTCCAGTTGCCTCATGAAAAAAAAAAAAAAGCATCTTTGGGACAACCCTGACCTGGATGACTGAGAATCTCCATAGATTAAGGTTTGAGGAGGGATTCAGAAGCCAAAGAGATGTTTGTGTGAAAAGTCAAGGATTTTCCAAGCCATGGAATCTTTCAATCAGAAAACCCTCAGAACAATCAGAAAGAAAGAAAAAAAGCTGAGAAGACAATCATTGGAGGATAGGGGTTGTATTAGGACACTACCCAAGGGTGTAGTGACCCTCCTTCTTGCTTCTCTACTCTGTTATACTTAATAACTGTTAAATGTGTCATCTAATTCTTCCTGTTTAGGCTCTGTAATCCGTAGTCCTGTGGGCCCCGAGGTCAAGGTGTTCCAGTCTTCATGTGATTCCAGAGATGGTGAAGGGCCTATACAGTTGTGGTGCCTGATTTCAGATTTCTACCCTAAACAAGTGGAAATTGATTGGAAGGTGGGCAGCCACTCTGGACTGATGCATCCATATAATTATCACCCTTGGCAGAATTCTGGCACGTATACTTTCAGTACTGCCAGCGTGGTCAATATCACTCGAGCTGATTGGCTGGAAGGAAATAATTATTACTGCGAGGCAACCCATGCGGCGTCACAAACCAAGGTGAAAGGCAAAGCCAGGAAATGTGAAGGTAATCGTGATATTGCGCAAATTCTGGTTTGTATAAATGAGCAAGGAATGAAAAGAGAAAACCAAAGGAGGAAGCTAGCGCATCTTTTCACGAGATCTTTTGTCCTATGTATCAATCCATACTATTTAAAACAGTGTTTCTCAACCTTGACAATTTTAAGGCATGTGGACTTCAACTCCCAGAATTCCACAGCCAGCATTGCTGGCTGTGGAATTCTGGGAGTTGAAGTCCACATGCCTTAAAATTGTCAAGGTTGAGAAACACTGATTTAAAATAAATCTTCATTAATTTAGGATTTCCTCACCTGCTCATACAACCCTGTTTAGAGAGAGGAAACATTTTTCTGGCTTAATTGGAGCCGGTAATGACAAGTGGTTAGAAAGCAGTACTGTAGGCTAACTCATTGCTCAGTGCAAGGAGTTTGATCCTGACTGGCTCAGGTTTAACTCAGCCTTCTATTCTGCAAAGGTCAATAAAATGAGGACCCAGATTATTGGGGGCAATAGGCTGACTCTGTAAACCACTTAGAGAGGACTATAAAGCGGAATGGAATGGAATAGAATAGAATAGAATAGAATAGAATAGAATAGAATAGAATAGAATAGAATAGAATAGAATAGAATAGGAATAAGAATGGAATGGAATAGAATAGAATAGAATAGAATAGAATAGAATAGAATAGAATAGAATAGAATAGAATAGAATAGAATAGAATAAGAATAGAATGGAATGGAATAGAATTAGAATAGAATAGAATAGAATAGAATAGAATAGAATAGAATAGAATAGAATAGAATAGAATAGAATAGAATAGAATAGGAATAGAATAGAATAGAATAGAATAGAATAGAATAGAATAGAATAAGAATAAGAATAAGAATAAGAATAAGAATAAGAATAAGAATAAGAATAAGGAATAGAATAGAATAAGAATAGAATAAGGAATAGAATAGAATAAGAATAGAATGGAATGGAATAAGAATGGAATAGAATAGAATAGAATAGAATAGAATAGAATAGAATAGAATAGAATAGAATAGAATAGAATAGAATAGAATAGAATGGAATGGAATAAGAATGGAATAGAATAGAATAGAATAGAATAGAATAGAATAGAATAGAATAGAATAGAATAGAATAGAATAGAATAGAATAGAATAGAATAGAATAGAATAGACTTCGGAGGTCTTCCAGTCCAACCCCCTGCTCAGGCAGGAAGTCATATATCATTTAATAATGATGATGATGATAAAATTGGAAGGGACCTTGGAGGTCATCTGGTCCAACCCCCTGCTCAGGCAGGAAAACCTATACCATTTCGGACAAATGGCTGTCCAGTTTCTTCTTAAAAACTTCCAGTGTTGGAGCATTCACATCTTCTGGAGGCAGGTTACTCCACGGATCAGTTGTTCTAACTGTGGAACAACATGCGTCCAGAAATGAAAAGCCATTTCATTATATACTACGAAATGGTATATAAGTTTAAGTGTTGTTGCTATTTCCATTAACTATGAAATAAAGAGGCAGCGTCAAAGGACTTATATTTACTAAACTTAAAAGCAGCTCCAGTACAGATCAGATCAAGAGCCTGTTGGGATGGGGAAGAAATGAGAGTCGAAGAGGGAACTGACATTAATTTTTTAACTTTAGATGGGAGCAGTTGTCCCTCCGGTGATATTAAGGTGGATATTCTGCCCCCAAGACCAAAAGCCTTGTACATTGATAGAAATGGCAAGATCAGCTGTGTGGTGAGCAATCTGCAAAATGAACAGGGGGTGAAATTCACCTGGTCTCGGGAGAAGAGTGGACACCTGACTCCTGACTTAATGGAAACGATAGAAGAATCAGGGGCTTACACTGTTGTCAGTCGCCTCAACGTCTTCCCTCAAGACTGGGAATCAGGAGAGACTTTCACCTGTCTGGTGGAACATCCAACCTTTGTTTCTCCCATCACAAAGAAAATTTCCAAGACCAGAGGTAAGAAGGAAGTTACACTGTTCTCCCTCATGGGGACTAACAGACTTATTTTCATTTGTGGCCGGGAATGTCTGTAGAGACAAGCTCTGTAATGGATGATGTGTACTGCAAGTTTGGAGACATGAAAAAGGGGTGGCATCAACAATCCAAATATTTGGTGGATAATCACACCAGGTTAACCAAATTCACTCTTGGCTTGGCACAATGTGGGCCTTTAGTCACAGAATGGCCAGTAAACCATGGTTTAGGGATATCAATGAACGATGGGTTTGCTCAATGAGCAATGGCTAAAGGAATCACAGTTTAGCAAGAGGGGTAAACTATTCATTGCTGCCACTAATTTGTCTTATATTTCATTGTTGTGTTTCTTTCCTCAAACTTCACAAAGGCAAACATAGTGCACCCAAGGTCTATGTCTTCCCACCTCATCAAGATGAGCTCAACTCAGGCAGAACAGTGTCGGTTAACTGCGCGATAAATGAATTTTTCCCAGCTGCAGCTGATGTCCAGTGGCTGCAGAATCACAATCCCGTGTCAGAGGACAACTATGTGACTACTCCACCTATGAAGAATAAGCATGATGATTCCTACTTTCTCTTCAGCAAACTTGCTATCTCCAGGCCTGAATGGGAAACCGGTTTATTCACTTGTATGGTGATCCATGAAGACCTCCCCATGAAGTTCACCCAGAGGAACATCTCAAAAACCCAGGGTAAAAAATGAATCAGCTGCTCCATTTCAGTCCATCCTAGATTTCCCTTTAGCACTGTCAGACCAAACTGTTAATGATTTGTCTGCTCACGCGTTTCACATCTGGATGAATAAAAGCAATCCATCTAAGAAACACCTCAGGTTCTCTTGTTTTCTCCTTAGGCATGAGATGTAGAAGGGGAAGGGGGATAATCTGTCTGAAAAAGCAGAATCAAGGCTTAAGGCTGGTTTATTGTACTGATTGATTAGTTCTGCTTTCTACAGCCGCCCATCTCAGCAAATGAATCTGGGCGGGTCACAGTTCTGATAATCCAACATAACGGAGTCCATCGTGAATCCCACAGAGGGCCAATGGATTTAGCTGGGTTACGCACAGGCACCCCGAATTAGCCCCACTGCAGTGCTGTGCTGTAAGAAAAGAATGCAATAGATGCATCTAATCCAATCTGCTGAGCTTCAGGGTTCACTGAAAATTTGAACCCATCAAGTTCAAGGACAATGATCCTGTCTGTTCCATATCAAATTTCTTATATTGTTAAGTGCCCTTCTCTGTAGGTTGTCCACTTAGCCCAAGAGCAAAGAGTCAAAGTATCTGAAATACATATAATTGTAATTATTTATTGAAAAATGCCCCGTCAACTTAGATCCATCTACGTCCCTTGGCCAACTGCCTCTGAGCCACAGTTTCTCCATGGACCAATCATTTGGAGCAAAGTGGCACTGTTCTCTGCAGGTCTATAATCAATAATAATTTCAATATCAAGGACTCATATCTAATACAAAAATAGCCAGAGAATTCTCAAGGGTGAATCTCAATCAGCCATTGTAATATAAGGACGTTATTATCAAAACTAAAAAAAAAAAAAAGCATCAAACTCGTGATCCACTAAGGGAGAATTCTAAAGGATCCACTATGCCAGGGAATGCTCTGAGTTTGCCAAATAATTGATACAAATGGCAAATATAAAATCAAGGAAGAGAGGAAAGAAATCTTTAATTCAAATTACTGAACACAGTAGGTTGAGTAATAGGGGAAATTATAGGATGATTATAGGAAATTATAGAATGAGCATTCAGTTCTCAAGATATCCTCATTCAGAAATGCAAAACTACCTGGTAGAAAAACAATTCTTTTCCAAAAACACATCCAAAACCTACTGATTACCAGAACAAATTAAAAAGAAAAAAAAAGAAAAGCAATCACTTTTGTCCTTAAAAAGCACTATTAAAATCCACTGATTAGTTATTCAAAATTCCGCAGACCTATATTACTACTATATTAACCTATAGTGTACTATGTTAACACAGAAAAAGATGTTTTCTCAAAATCTGTATTAACACAAAAAGGAGACATTGCCTCAAAACCTTTGACATTTCAGATGTCATCTGAAGACGGAATGACAAACTTCAAAGGACCTTGAAGGTCTTCTAGCGCAACCCCTGCTGAAGCAGGACACCCTATACCATTTCAGACAAATGGTTGTCCAATCTCTTCTTGAAAAGCTCCAGTGTTGGAGCACCCACAACTTCTGCAGTTCTCAATGTCAGGAAATTTCTCCTTAGTTCTAGGCTGCTTCTCTCCTTGATTAGTTTCCATCCGTTGCTTCTTGTCCTGCTTTGGAGAATAGATGGACCCCCTCTTCTTTGTGGAAGCCCCTCAAACATTGAAACACTGCTATCATATCACCCCTAGTCCTTCTTTTCAATAGACTAGACATACCCAGTTCCTGCAACCATTCTTCATGTTTTAGTCTCCAGTCCCCTAATCAGTGCAGAGATGAGAAAGAGAGATTACGCAGCACCCAAGAACAATTCAACTGTAGAAATTAAATAGTAAGATCTCTCCACTTGGACATCCATTGGCAAATTGAAATATTAACAATCACATTTCATCGTATTGATCAACACCGGAACACATCTAATATTTTTCCGATTTTCTTTTTTTTAGAATTTTTGCACACTCTGATTCATTAAAATTTCAGACAAGGAGTTCAATGAAATATAAACATGTTAACTGTTGATGTACAACAACAGACACTGAAAAAAATACAACACTATATATCACCAAAAAAAGGAACAAGTGCCAAGAAATCTGTCAATCTTCATCTGATAACATGTGATCATGGAAGTTGACAACTGATGCTAAGCTAAGAATTGGAGAAGCCCCACTTCAGTGAAGCAAATCCAGCTGTGTAAAACTTTTTTAAAAATATGATAAATTATAATTTGCTAAAAACAATAGGGAAAATAGGAGAAATAAACAATGCCCTGCCATACAAGCAACAGAAAACACATATAAATATACAAAAACGGGTTTTTTTCCCTCCTCCAGAAAGAGCAAAATAAATAAAGGAAAGCTAAATAAATGAATAATTCTAAAATACCATGATAATATAACTCAATTATAAAATTACAATACAAAATAAAGTAATAATTCATTAACAGTAAATTAGTACATAATAAATAAAAATATAAAAAAGAAGAAAACTCGATGCAAAGTAAGGCCAGTTGTGAATTCCCGTTGTTGTGTGTAGAATAATAATATAATCTCTATAAAATTATTAATATTTTTTAAATTAAGACATAATAGACGTAATATGCTCAATCTGACAGAAAAAGTAGGGGCGTTATTTAAAACACAAATAAAATAGGATTAAAAGAGAGATTTTGGGTTATGTGTCATATTTTCCATTATGACTTATCTCTGGAGTTATGGACGCAAGTGCCAAGAAATCTGTCAATCTTCATCTGATGAAGAATGCAGGCATAACATTTTGATCATGGAAGTTGACAACCGATTCTAAGCTAAGAATTGGAGAAGCCCCGCTTCAGTGAAGCAAGTCCAACTATATAAAAATTAAAGGAGATATCAGAAATGATGTTTCGCTGAAAACAATGGAGAGAAAGAAGAGAGAAACAGACAACACACCATTCTACGCAAGCAGCCAAACCATATATAAAGATACAAAAACAGGGGGGGGAGGGTTCCTCCTTCAAAAAGAGCAAAGTAAATAAATAAGAGGCGGACAAATCACTAGTTTTAAAATTTAATTATAATATAACTCAATTATAAAATTATCATGGTGGCGCAGCAGTTAGAGTGCAGTACTGCAGGCCACTTTAGCTGACTGTGTTCAGCAGGTCAGCGGTTCAAATCTCACCGGCTCAAGGTTGACTCAGCCTTCCATCCTTCCGGGGTAGGTAAAATGACCCAGATTGTTGGGGGCAATGTAAATATATATATACATTGCTTACTGGTGTTCCACCGCTTAGAGAGTGCTTGCACTTAAAGCGGTATATAAGTCTCATAAATAAATAAATCATGATAAAATAAAAATTATAATGTATTAACAGTAAATAAATTGCATCAATTAGAATAACAAAATAGAATTCAAAGCGAACAAAGGCCAAGAGCATCTAAAAAAACCAGCAGATGTGATTTCTCATTATTGTGTATATAATATACACCCTATTTCTCTATATAACCATTAAAATATTTTTAAATGAAAACGTAACAGACGTAATACGCTCAGCTTGAGTGAAATAGTATGGGCTTGGAGTTATTTAGACACCTAAATAAAACAGGACTAAAATAGAGGCCTTAGCCTATGAGTCATTTGTCCTATAGTGACTTACCCTCTGGAATTAGCTGTTGTTCTCAAGATGTTGTACAGGTACTCTTCGATTTACAACCGTTCATTTAGCAACCGTTCAAAGTTACCACAGCGCTGAAAAAAAGTGGCTTATGAACAGTCCTCGCACTTTGACTGGCTCAGCATCTTCACCGTCACGTGATCAAAATTTGGGCTCTTAGCAACCGTCATGTATTTATGATGGTGGCAGCATCATGGGATCACCCTTTGCAATTTCCGCAGGTGGCTTCTGACCAGCAAAGTCAGTGGGGGAGGCTGGATTTGTTTAACAGCAGTGGACTCACTTATTGGCGTTGATTCGCTCAACAGCCATGGCAAGTAAGGTCATAAAATCACTCATGGCTCTGTTAACAACAGAAATTGCTTAGCAACAGAAGTGCTGGTCTTACTTGTGATTATATATTGAAGATTGCCTGTAAATCATCACTAAGAAAAGTAGCTATGAACAAAACCGAGGACTTATAAGACCCCTACAGATCTTGTCATCAATTCTGACATTGCAAGAACAAAATCTAGTCTAAATCATAACCGAGGTAGACTTGACATTTATTTATTTATTTATGAGACTTTATATACCGCTTTAAGTGCAAGCGCTCTCTAAGCGGTGTACACCAGTAAGCAATGTATATATATATATACATTGCCCCCAACAATCTGGGTCCTCATTTTACCTACCCCGGAAGGATGGAAGGCTGAGTCAACCTTGAGCCGGTGAGATTTGAACCGCTGACCTGCTGAACACAGTCAGCTAAAGTGGCCTGCAGTACTGCACTCTAACCGCTGCACCACCTCGGCTCTTCTGACTTTGTTAAGTCCATTTATATCCATATTTTTTTTTGTAATCCATACTAAAATCAAATAATAAAAAGGAATAGCCCTGGTAAGCAAGCATTTGTTCGAGTGGCTGGTATACACAAGCCAATATCTTTAATGCACACACATGAACTAGAACCTGACAGAATCATTGGGAGCAAATATAACCCATTGGGTCAAAGAGATTTTCTTTTAATAGAAATCCATAATTCTGCAGAAAGAGCAGGATTTTCAATTTTTATTTGGGTGAGTTTGTATGGCCTAATTCCACCGCTATGCAAAATGGCTTCCTAATCAGAAGTACACATTGGGGACGAGAGAGAGATGGATCAATGGAGACTTTAGGCTGGCGAATAATATGGAGCATGACAACTTTCTGTTTTTCATTTCACAGGGGTACTTGTGATTGTGGAGAACGATTACAGCTTTGAGAAAGAGGAAGAGCTGGAACATTTGTGGACCATCCTTTTCATTTTCTTCATTCTCTTCCTCCTCAGTGTGTGTTATAGTGCCACAATAACACTGTTCAAAGTAAGTGGGGAGGGAGAGAACTTTTTCAATGAATAGCACAAAGAAAGGGGTTAACGTAGACCTTTCAGAAATAGACCAAGGCTAAAAGGGAAGATCAGGATGAAATATTGTTTCTTGCCAATATTTGAGGTGGGCACACGGCTATGAAGTTCATGCTCTTTTTATGGCCTTCTCAATGTCCTTGAAGAGGCCACACCATCTCAGCAGACGTCTAGACTGGAAACATCATTAGTAGAGGCCTTATGTTCTCATAAATGCTGAAACACCTATGTTTATTACAACACAGTGAGGGTGGAGTAAGATCCTACGCAAGAACTATCTCTGCTTATAAAAATGGCATCCTGTCAACTATTCCATTAAAACAGAAGACAGCAATGTTTTTCAGAAAGAGGCCTGCCCTTTTCCTTCAAATAATATGATAGGTCCGTGTTTCAATAGGTTTGTAAAACTGTGGGGTCCTTGGTCTCTGGGTTTGGTTGTTTTCTTGCAGACGTTTCATTACCCAACCAGGTAACATTATCAGTGCTACAAGGCAGTGGGATTTGCTGTCTTTTTATATATTAGTGGCTTGTCCTACCAATATTGGTGGAAGTATTGCTGGTGGTTCCTTAATTCAGCTGTTTTTATGGCTAGCTTTTGGTCTGAAGTGGTAGCTCTTTGATTGGGGCATTGTTTCCTTCTAGACTATTGGACTAGTATTGACCTTCGTGTAAATCTCTGTTTATTTGGGTGTTGATTGCTGGTGATGAGGTATTTGAGGGTTTTTTGTTTCCTTTTTGGCTTTCTGATTGTCTCTTTTGAGTAATATGTAGATGTTGTATACCTCTATGTGCCTGTTGATGGCTGATTTCTCTGAGACCCAGACTTCTAAAAATTCTCTAGTGTTTTTGGATTTAGCTTGGTCTAGGATGCTATCCTAGCATTGATGATGTTAACTAGTTTAGGGATATAAATGTCTGCAAGAATACATTCAGTGTTAGAGAGCACCAAGATCCCTACATTTCAACTCTGAGCTACAAATATTTCATTATATTGTTAAGTGTGTGAGTTTGGTTAAAAAAAAAGAAAAGGGCAGAGCTAGGATGAAAATTAAGCTTGATTTAATTTAAATGCATTATAATTAATAAGATTTTTCCCCATGTGCCTAAGAATGTTCTCTTTTATCTTGGACACATCAGAGAACTTTAGAAGTGTTTTGAACTCAGAACCCAAAATTAGGCACAATGCATACAGCTTAAGGTCCAGTTGAATTCTTTCTCTTTTCTTGCATATTCTGTTAAAAAATAAAAACAATGAGATGAAGAGAAGGAAACAGTTGGCCAAGTCAAGTAGAAAAAAATGAAAAACGTTGGAGAAGAGAGGCTAAGAAAAAAATAGAATAATTTAACCTTTTCTCATATTCATTGCAAGAAAGGGGGAAAGAAAGAAGTATTAGTAACAAACACAAACAATTCTTCATGAAAGAACCTGTCGACTATTCTTCTCTACCAACTCTGAACCCATAATTTTCCATTCTCACTGCTTCCCAATAGGTAAAATGGCTTTTCTCTACAATCACACAACTGAGGAAGAAACCAACATGCCCTAATTACAGGAACATAATCCAGTAGAAGACCAATGGGAAGATTTGCTTGGGTCTACAACTCCATCTTCAACATAAAGACCTGGAGCGTCTCTCTCTGTCCTGGACTATCCAAGATCAATTTGTGGATCCATGGAGATGGAGAATGTTGCTAGAACCTGGAAGAAAAATATATTCTTGTAGACCATGTGTCATAAAAACAATTCCACTGAAGTAAACTTGTGGACATGTATTAAATTGTTTCCTAAAGAGCAGACAGGTCTCAGATCCAGATAGGCATGATAGAAAATGGAGGCCTACCAAAAGCCAACCTAGGGTCTAGTGTCTGAAGAGTTCATTCAGATGTCTCTGTTTTCCACCCTGCCATTTCAGACGTTCTGTTCCACATTTGTCCTCCTCTAAGCATTATTCCCGCGAACCAGTTTGCTTTAGTGATTTGCTTGTTTGCTTGCTTCCATTCAAGTCAGAAGCACCAAGGCAGTTGCAGGTTGAAAGGATTAGCCAGTGACATCATCCTTGCCCTATTGATGTTCAGTTGGGCTCCTTTCAAATGCTTGGCAGGAGCTGGAATGAAGGACGAGCGCTCAACCCTGCCCCACGGCAGGTCTCAGGTCTCAAACGCAGGCTTGCTAACCTCCTACCCAATCTTCCAGCCATTTGAGCCACCATGTCCTGGTATAGTGGTTAAAGCATCAGACTGGAAGTCAGGAGACCATTAGTTCAAGTCCTGCTTCAGGAAAGAAGCTGGCTGGATGAGTTTTGGGCCAGCCACTTTCTTCCCATCCTAGGAAGCAGGCAATGGAAACCAGTTCTGAAAATGTTGCCAAGAAAAGCAGGGATTTGTCACTGTAGTTGCCAGGACTCAAGACTTATTTGAACTCGCACACACAACACAGAATATCATCCCTATTGCTCAAAGATATCTGAACTATCAACCCCTGTTGAATGCACCAGACTCACCAGTTCTATGAACCTATTTCAGAGAACCCACCATATAAACCAGTGGTTCTCAACTTTTTAATGCCGCGACCCTCCCATCCGGTCGTAAGTTGAGGACTACTCAACTGGTGCAGCACTGTTTGCAGAAGGGGACTTTTGGCGGGCTCAGCAGGGCAGAGACAGCCTGGACAATTCCTATTGGCTTTTGAAAGCCAATAGAATTAGACTCTATTCAAGAGAGTCTATTCTATTGGCTTTCAAAAGCCAATAGAATCAAAGGGAGTAGCACAGCTAAGGAAAAGGGGGAAAAAATGGTGGACTGTATTGTTTGGCGACCCCCGTGAAATGGTCATTCGACCCCAAATGGAGTCCCGACCCACAGGTTGAGAACCACTGATATAAACACAGAAATGTATAAACCTCTTGTCTCCTTGCCTGGCTTTAAATACGCAACATGTTTTGCCAGCCGTACCCCTCTCATCTCCTCCTCATCCGTCCTCACATTTTTTAGACAAGAATGATACTGAGAAAATCATGCCATTGTAATATAAATGGCTTGCTTTATTTTTGTTATTCTGATAGAAAATAAATGCACAAATAAAAACAGATGTTCACTTATATGGTGTTTGTTTGGTTTTTTTAAATCAGCCCTCCAAAACTGTTGTGGGAAAACCATTGCAGCACACTAATGTTAATGCCCTTTGGCTTTTGGGGACAGTTATTCGATATAAATATCTCACTGCTTTAAAAGGAGGCGGAAACTGTTCAAGTCTTTATGATGAACATCAGGGTCAAAGAACTAGAATCAGAAGGGTGCTAAAAGAAAGAGAAAAGGGGGGGGGAGAGAGAGATGAGCAATTATGTCTAAGGAAATTGACTTTCGTCAGCTGCTTATTTCACCCAGAAGTTCAACAAACACATACACGCAGGTCTTCTAATCCAACCCCCTGCTCATGCAGGAAACCCTATACCATTTCAGACAAATGGTTGTCCAATCTTTTCTTAGAAACCTCCAGTGTTGGAGCATTCACAACTTCTGGAGGCTAGCTGTTCCACCAGGTTGTGTCTCTCCTTGATTAGTTTCCATCCATTGCTTCTTGTGCATTAGGTAATCTTGCTGCTGTCATGGCATCAAAGTTCCAATTTTTTTTCCCCAAGTCTTTTTCCATTAAACCCAAAATAAAAGTTCCTGGTTTTATCTTTATATTCACTTTGAGAATCTTCCGTAATAAGATGTGAATCCTATAGTAACACTTCTTTGCTTTATCACATGTCCACCATAAAAGTGATAAAACAGTGATGGCAAACCTTTTAGAGACCGAGTGCCCCAAAACTGGCCCCGCCCCTGCTCCACCCACTGCCCTGCCCCTGCCCCGCTCCCACCCCATCCCCCACCCACCTGCCCACAGGGCCACTCACCACCTCCAGGGCCTGCCGCAGATCGCCCAGGCAACCCAGCAGCACTATGGTGGCCATGCCCTCTGCCCATGCCCCGCAGCATCAACTGTGTGGGATGAGACGAGGGCAGAGTCTTGTCTACGCTGCCTGGCTGCCATGTCCTTGGCTGCACTGCTCCATGTGGGCCTGTTCGGGGGTGACTCTCCTCCAGGGGGGCTGCTGGTGAAGAGGGGGTCGTGGGGGGAGGTGAGGCTGGGGCAACAGCACATGTGCCCACAGAGAGGACTCCGAGTGCCACCTCTGGCACGCGTGCTATAGGTTCACCACCACTGTGATAAAACATTCCTTCTTTACATTTGCATTTCCAAACATTCATTTGGAATACCTTTATACATTCTTAACAACTAATCTGGTGTTAAATACCGATGATATATTATCTGATAAAAAAAATTCTTTTAAATTATGTTGTTGTTGTTAATTGCGAAGTCATGTCCGACCCATCGCAACCCCATGGACAACGTTCCTCCAGATCTTCCTGTCCTCTACCATCTTCTGGAGTCCATTTAAATTCACACCTACTGCTTCAGTGACTCCATCCAGCCATCTCATTCTCTGTCGTCCCCTTCTTCTATTGCCCTCCATCTTTCCCAGCATCAGGCTCTTTTCCAGTGAGTCCTTCCTTCTCATTAGGTGGCCAAAGTACTTGAGTTTCAACTTCAGGATCTGGCCTTCCAAAGAGCAGTCGGGGTTGATCTCTTCTAGGACTGACCGGTTTGAACGCCTTGCAGTCCAAGGGACTCGCAGGAGTCTTCTCCAGCACCATAGTTCAAAGGCCTCAATTCTTTTGCGCTCTTTTAAATTATAATGTAGTGTAAACTTTAGACCTTTCGTCCATATATTGATGGAGTTAGCAGAGATGGCCAAATTGACTGCTTTGATTAAAGAAAAAAAAATGTAATTTTTTGGGAAACCACTTCTGGTTTTTCTGCTTGAGGTGGGGGGGGAAGAACTGTCAATTGGGGCCAAATAATAAGACATACCCTGGACCATTCACAAGTAAACAAGCAACATTTTAACTGGATAAGCTCAAAAGCTAATCTAGAGAGAAAGGAAAAATTACATTAAGGGCCTAAGGGTAAGAGAAGGAGGGATGTAAGGACTGGCATCAATTTTGTATCCATAGATGCCAGCAGTCACTTCGCCACTGGGGTTACTGCCTACCTTCTGCCCCCACAGCCGAAAGACTTGTACATGAACAGGAATGCCAGGCTCGTTTGTGTGGTTGTCAGTCTGCAACAGGAAGAGGGGTTGAAAATAAGCTGGTCACGTAAGAAGCGAATTGCCACGCATCCGGAATTAGTGGTGGTGACTGAAGAAAACAATGGAACCTTCACAGCTGTCAGCCACCTCCCTGTCTCCACTGAAGATTGGGAATCGGGAGAGGCTTTCACCTGTTCAGCAGAATATCCAGGTCTGCCTCGTCCCATCATGAAGAAAATTTCCAAGAGCAGAGGTAAGGAAGAAGCAGAGTGGCTCTCTGCCCTGCGAACCAATGAATTTAATTTCTCAATTATTATTTTTTGGGGGCACAAATGAGAACATTTGCAATCCATGGTGTGTACCACCAGGCTGGAGAAGTAAAACAGAATGTTCAGTTGTCATCCATTGTCTCCAATCATGGACCTTTCTTTGTTTCCTCTTTGCATCTCAGGGCCTCTGGAGCCCAATTCATAGTAAGATGCTTTACCTTGCTTCTACAACAATTTTGCAGAGACTTAATTGGAACTCCTAGGAGCCTATGGTGGTGTCATTGAGTGAGTGCACAATGGGTTTATTTATACTGCGGACCCATTCCAAGCAGGGAGCTAGGACCAAGTGAAATATGGATTCCCTATGATCCCATCCTCTATTACAGTGTTTCCCAAACTTGACAATTTTAAGGGATGTGGACTTCAACTCCCAGAATTCCACAGCCAGCATTGCTGGCTGTGGAATTCTGGGAGTTGAAGTCCACATCCCTTAAAATTGTCAAGTTTGGGAAACACTGCTCTATTATTATGAAAGTGTAGACCTCATTTTCTTGTTGCACTGAAGGAGCATATAGAAGCCTCTGGGAAACCCTTATAGAGCTTTAGATAGACTGAATAATCTTCCAAGCTAATGGACTGCTGATATAATGGGCACATCACTGTGCTACAGAGATATACGTAATGCGGAATGATGTTGCCAGGTGGGTTTTGAACGCAAGGCCTTCCGAGGACTTGAGTGTCTTGTCTTCCTAATATCTTAATTCCGCATATTGCCTGAGATTCCTCTTTAACATTAAGCTTTATTTTGGCCTAGAATGCTATCTGAACCAGAGTCAATTCTGTGTAATTGCAATTGTGGCTAACCTGTTAATCTCTCAAGTGAACCAGTCCTCAGTGGTTGGCTATCTAGAATAAATCATGACTTAATACATGGCAACCCTGTCACGGCTTCCATTACTTTATCCTAAACGAAATAATATGTGACTTTCTTTGTCTTTTTCTTTCCATGTTCACAAAGAAAAAAGCAAGGCACCATCCATCCACATCTACCCTCCCATCCCTGGCAATTCACTTTCTCTCACCTGCTTTGTTGGAGGCTTTAACCCACTGAGAATGATGTCCGGTGGCTAAAGAATGGCAATGCCATTTCAGAAGATGACTACGTCAACACCCCAGCCGTGAAGGAAAAGAGGGACGATTCCTACATCCTCTATAGCAAATTGACAATCTCTGAATCAGATTGGCATGCCGGCGAGTCATTCAGCTGTATAGTTGTCCATGAGACCCTTGAACAGAAGTTCACCCAGATGAGCATAGCAAAAACATCAGATAAACATTGAAGACTCCCCTCAACATGCATTGTCCTCCTAGATTTGACTCTCACAGTGTTGGATCCAAATCCTTATAAATAGTTTACATGCGAATATGTTTTGCTGATGGCTAAATAAAGGCAAACCAACTCAGAGGTCTCTGAGGTTTTTCAACCTTTTTTTCAACCAAATTGGGGACTGAGCAAAGTTGAGAGATGAATTCTGGAATTCTGGAACTTTCTCTGGATATTAGAATCAAGGCTTAAGGTTAATCCTGGGAGAAAAAGGGGTTCCACTCCTCCCTTATCAGTGTCAAAATCCTAGGGCCAAAATCCTAGGTATATATATATATATATAACATATAGATAGATAGATAGATAGATAGATAGATAGATAGATAGATAGATAGATAGATAGATAGATTCTGATGTTTTCGCAGGTGTTTGTATGTAGGTCTTTGGTTATTCGGGTTTTCTCCCGCGTAAAATTGGAAGTGTCTTGGCGACGTTTCGACGAAGTCCCATTCGTCATCTTCAGGCTGGTGTTTTCAGCTTCATGCTTCCAATTTTACGCGGGAGAAAACCCGAATAACCAAAGACCTGTGTGTGTGTGTGTGTGTGTGTGTGTGTGTGTGTGTGTGTGTGTGCAATCATCCTCCGCACAGGAAGGAAGGAATCCATCCAGACCAACTATCTGAAGTTCATACTCCTCTGGAAATTTGAACCCATCAAACTCCTCCGCACTGCTCACTTGTTTCAATTCGTACGTGCAATAAGACCACTTTCCCTTATATGTTGGTTGTGGTCTTCTGACACAGGAATGCAATTCACTCAATTATGATTATTTATAATTTTCCCTTTAGAGTTCTCTTTCACCTTTCTTTGTCCCTCCATCCCAAATTTTTCAGCCAACCAGGGTTGAATGGGAGGTTCTTGGGGGTAATAAATAATCATTTTAATGTCCTTACAATTGATTTTGATCATGTTTATATACAGTGATCTCTACCATGGCTAGCTAAACACTTGGCAATTTATAATCCAGCACTAAATACATATATACACATTATAAATTAAAAGAAAAGCGAACACCAGGATAAAATAACCAGACTGTTTAATGCAAACAAGCCTGTAGATAAAAAGTCACTAAGCTTTCGTCAACCAAACTGCCGACATTGTCAGAGTTGGAATAAAAGGAGATCTGGGAGCCGATTTATGTAACTGCCTGCCTCTGCGCCCGGCTTCTCGAGCGCGTCATGGGCCCATTAACTGTGCTTGACTGTAATGCGTAATATATAAATAACACAAAAAACAACAAAACAATAAAATTTTACCAGTGTTGATCAACCTTGGCAACTTGACAATGACTGGACTTCAACTGAAAGACACCGTTTTAGACAATACACAAACATTTTGCCAAATAAGATCCTTATTTTAAAAATACTCTAAAAATAGTAAATCTGCTGGAGGAAAAAAAAATGAGTATCCTCTTCTAACTATGTGATCAAGACTGAAAAAAAGAAAAGGGGAAAAAAAGAAAAACTAATCTTGATACATGAGAGGGGGGGAAATCCATAATGCCAAACTGACCCCCAATGTTACACGAGCTTTATTTACATAAAAAGCAGAAAATGTTCTAGCAACTCTTACAATAAAAAGAACATTAATACATTTAATAAATAAAAATAAAAATTTCAAATGCTGATTCCAAAACCAAGAGAAAAGAATGTTGATTTCCAAGCACATTATAGCAAACTCCCATAATTTTTTTAAAATAAATCTTAAGACTTCTCAATTTCTTATCATATCACAACATCTACATTTGTCAAGCACCACAAAGTAATTACATTCCTCAATTTTTCTAAGAATGTGATCTCTGGTAGCTGAGGGGCAGTACAAAAGAAACTTGGAAATAAGGAAGAATGCCAAACAGATACAAATACAAAATATTTTTGGAATTTTGGCACTTGGATTTTGTGTTTGGTGAAGATGCGTCTTGTATAGCTGGTCCTTTGCTTATAATCATAACTTAGCCCACAATTATGGCTGTAAATTGTGGCAGTCGTTATGTGGATCAGGCTGAGCCTGAGGGAAGGGTCAAATGTGTCATAAGTCACAAATCCTTGTGAGCCCGCAAGGGAACTAAATCCAGTCCACCTTGAATGCCTTTTATTGCCACGCATTTCCCTTGACCATTAGTAGATCAGATTTTTGTAGGGACCTTAAGGTTGCTCATTTGAACTGCCTGATTCTGCTGATATCCCCAGCACTTGACAGCAAACATGACAGTAATTAAGCAAATCCATTTTTCCCAATGGGCATTTTTTTTTGCTGGAAATCAGAAATAAAGGCCGGTTTCTAGAAAAAATGCTGAAAATCGCAGACATGTAACTGTGGGGTGATGAAACAGCTATAAATATGGGCTGGTTGCCATGCATCCAAACTGCGATTATCTGACCATGGAAGAGTGCCAGCCATCAGAACATCAAACTGAGTTCTAAGTACCGTTTTGACCATCCATCGTATTGTTGGAACAGTCACTAAATGATCTGCCATCAGCCAGCACTATCTCTAGGCAACTGATACATTTTCCAGGCCTGCTTTGAGACCACACTATTAGAGTCTATAAATTGGGAGAGAAGTATTCATAAAAATAAGAATATACTCATGTGTGATTCTTCCTGACCTGATGTGAAGGGAAGAATCTAAATAAATTGAATAACCATTCAAGTGAAGGCTTGAAGAAATGTTTCAATTTAAATCTTGAGTAAAATGAGTTAAATCTTGAGTTAAATCTTGGGTGTGTGGTGATGATCTGTGGAGTCAGTGATGAAGAAAAGTTTGAGAACCACTGACTTAAATTATAATTTGGGGCATAATTATGCTTATAAGTCAAGGACTACCTGTAAGGATATTTCAACAAATTGCTATTACTAAAGTGAGACAATATTTACTGGGTTGACATGAGGTTTAGAAGTGATCGGAGGAGAATAGGATTTAAATTAGCCAAGACTAAATAAAACCTCACTGATTGATGTCAGTCAGCTCTAAGACTACCTACTAATTAGGTCCAAGCTAATAACAAGCACCAATTGGAGCAGATGGAATCCATTGGGAAGACTGCTTTTTAAGACTGCATTACCATGGAATTCTATCTTTGTGTTTATAACCAGATTTATGGATGCAAAGTTTCCAGACTTATGATGAAATTGTCAGAAGCACTAATTGATGGAGAAGTAGATGCTGTATATTTTATGTTGACGGAAAAATCCCAGGACTGACCTCTCTTTCTCATTTCACAGAGACAACCGTGTCAATCGAGAACAATTACAGTACAAAGGAGGAGGAACAGATGAAGTATTTATGGTCGATCATTCACTGGAGAAGGGCCTAATGCTGGGAAAGATTGAGGGCAATAGAAGAAGGGGACGACAGAGAATGAGATGGCTGGATGGAGTCACTGAAGCAGTAGGTGTGAACTTAAATGGACTCCAGAGGATGGTAGAGGACAGGAAGACTTGGAGGAACATTGCCCCATGGGGTCGCGATGGGTCAGACACGACTTCACAATTAACAACAACAACAGTGCTGGTGTTCTATGTTTTCTTCCTGCTCAATGTGTGTTACAGTGCCACGATAGCATTCTTCAAAGTAAGTAAAGAAAGATGTTGTAAAACACATAGTTTTGCATCCTGGCTCCAGAATGGAAAGATGCTGACCTAAATAATTGGGGTGTACAAGGGTAAGAAAAGAAGAAATTGTGGATAGACCGAGTGGTCCTTATGGTTTGTGAGGGCTCCAATAGCCAGTAGGTAGATAAAATGGGAGTACTTGGAAGATGTGGACAAAAACGTTTGTGTGAAGTCACCTCAGCTTTAGTCAATGTATGGCTACTTGGGTGACCTGATGAGTAGACGCCTTGATCTCAGGTTGGCATAGGGCAGTGTTTCCCAAACTGGACAATTTTAAGGCATGAGGACTTCAACTCCCAGAATTCCACAGCCAGCAACGCTGGCTGTGGAATTCTGGGAGTTGAAGTCCACATGCCTTAAAATTGTCGAGTTTGGGAAACACTGGCATAGGGAAACATCAAGTCCATGACTATGGAGATTCTCAGGCATCCAAGTCATGGTTGTCCCAAAGATGCTTTTTCGAAAGGCAACTGGACTTTATTTTTCATTGAAGACATTTCACTTCTCCTCCAACCAGCTTGTTCAGTTCCGACCGAATGGTGGAGGATGGAAGGATTTATATTCCTTGCAGTCATCTGGTCATTAGCACTCTTTCTGAGAGTCATTGACGCCACTGGGAGTTAAGTTAGTGATGGAGCTAAGTTAGTGATGGAGGAGTGGCAATGGTCTTCTGAGATATTGTGGGTCAATGATGAGGCTATAGAGATGATGGATCATCGATGCCTATAGAGATAGGTGTCATTTAGCCACCACAAAGCTGTCACTAAGGGAAACTCCAGCCATGCTCTTCATCTTAATTCAGCTATCATTTGCTTAATAGACCTGCAAAGATCATAAATATAAGCAATGGTTGTAAAGATAGATATGTAACAAAGAGGAAAAGAATACATAATCATAAAACTTCATGGAGATGTCTATCAACTCTTTTTCTATGTCTTCATTTGACTTATATTTACTAAGATAATCTTATTATTTTATTATTCCCACATCTTCTAAACAGGTCAGATGGATTGCATCTGCTCTGAGGAAACTGAAGAAGAAGCCAATAAGCCACCACTACAAGAATATAATCCAGCAAAGAGCATAGAACCATTTTCTGGAGGATCCATTCCATTTCTTTCAATCCCACCCTTCTCCTTGACCCACCAGTTCTATTCTGTTTGAGTTGGAGATGATATTCTGGTGGAGGAGAGGCCATCTTGCTGCAATCCATGTCCCAAGCTTATTTCTATTTAATGTCAGCTGAAAGAGTCATCTTGCAAAAGGAAAACATGAACAAGAACAACTAGGTTTGGAGATAAAAGTATTAGCAAAGTCCCTGAGGAAAACAGATAATCTTCTA